CTTCGCTATGCGAATTTCGCCCATTGGGGCCAAGCGATGCCTTCGCATTAGCGATCCCGGAAGAGGGATCGCTATGCGAATTCATCGCTGTATGGGGCGCTCGTTAAGCGAGGCACCACTGTACGTAGACACGGTACTTCAAGTAGCCTTTAACAGCAATGTTTTCATGTTCTAACATATTTTTCTTAGGGACTATATCTGGGTGACACACTGTAACTTGTGAGCAGGTATCTTTGAGTGCAAGATACTTATTATTATCAATGTAAATAACATCTCCTGATACATAGTAGATTCTGGTTACATTCTATCAAAAAGCATTGGACAACCCTAGCCACAAGAGGCTCTGGGCTCTCTGTTACTTGGGTTGCTATGGCAACAGATTCAGCTGCTTCTTTAGTAGATCCATTATGATGTACACAAAATACTTTCTTTGGCTGACTGGAATTTCCCCCTTTTTGCTGGTTAACATCCCTAGTCTTTTGGATCTGACACTGAGCCCAAAAGTGTCCTTTCTCCCCACACGCATAGCATAGTTTACTGGCTCTGGGTTCGAAATACAGGGCCTTGCCATCCTTTCATTCAGAGCTATTTTGTTTCATGTGACTCAGCTCTCGGGATGAGGGCTTGCCTTTAAAATGGCTTCCAGTATCTTGGGTACTTCTGAGGTAATCTCTACTGGTTGGGGTCCCTCTCCTCTTGTCGTCCCACACTTTCCCACCAATATTTACCTCAGAGAACCTGGGGTTTCTTAATCTCACTTATGGAATCCGGCTTCTCGCTTCCAGTATATTTTTAGCATTTTTTCTTTTACTAAATAATGTAAATGCTCTGGTAAAATAGAATTAAATTGCTCCAGCCCAATCACATTTTTCATTTGATCTAAAGAAGTGACATTCTCATGCTCCATCCATTTCTCCAGACATTGAACTAATTTAGCCCCCAACAGGGAATAAGATTCCTTAGGCTTTTTGGTCAGGGCACAAAATTTTTGCCTCAGGTGTTCTGCATTGATGCCATATCTAGAATAAACCATTTTTTCTGTAAGCCTTAAAGTCTCTGGCCTGCTCTAGAGGCATCTGTGAATACAACTCTGCTAAATATCCACTTATTAGTATTTCAGCACAATCATCTCTTCCTCCTCTTTCACATTAAAGTCCCAGCACATGCATTCAAAGGAAATGAGGAAAGATTTTGGGCAGTCACCTTTTCTATATTGGGGAAATTTCTTTAGATCTATTTTTGAGAGTCCCTCATTATTGTTGTTATTTTGAGAAGCCAATTCCAATTGTTTCATTTGTATTTGAAATTCCATCTCTGTCTTAATTCCATTTCTCTTTGTCTATTTTCTTGCTCGATTGCCATTTTTCTCTGTCTTAATTCTATTTGTATAGCCTCATCCTCAGCTTTGAGCTGTCGTTCCCTGAGCTCTAGCTCCTTAGCTTTTTCATCAGCTCTGTCTTTTTCTCTAATTTCTAATTCTTTGGCTTTCAGCTTGAATTCCTGTTCCAATTTCCATTTTTCAAACTCTTGGGAGATTGGATCACTTTCTCTCCCTGAGGCAACCTCATGAGTCTCTTCCTGTTCCATAGAGAGAGGAACTCCATTTCCCTTCACTTCATGAGGTAAACCTTGTGCCTCTTGAGGATCAATTGCCTCCATTACTAGTTTTTTACTTCTTTTAGGTGGCATACGTATGTGCATTTATTTGGATAAGAGCTGGTTTATATTGCAGAAATAATCAGGCCTCTTTTTAAAATACTTTTTCTTTCTGAGATACTATGTAGCTCTCCCTTGGCAGCTAAGGATGGCTATACTTTTTCTGGCACCATGCCAGCCATGTTGTTCATTTGTCTGAGACAATCCTCTTGCCTCCACACAAACAAATTCTTATTTTTTCAAGCTTTTGCTTCTTCCTATCACCTCAGGCTTCTTTTGACCCCAGCTTCTACTTTTTCTCTACAAGCGCTCTCTTAACTCTTGGAGCCTTGGATTCTAAGCTAGCCCACTGGGTCTATTTAAATCCTGAGGTAACCTCAAACAGAATTTTTTCCCTCAGAGTTGTTCCCTATCTTTAATCTCCCCCAAGATCTGCATTCAGAAGCCTCGCCACTAAGCTTTTCCACAAAAGCTCTAGTGAGTTACCCACTTCTTTGCCACAGACCTCTGACTAATAGGTCTCCTTCACTCAGAACAATCCCCTTTAAACTTTAGCTTTACTGGAATCTATTCATATCCCACACTGGACACCACTTGTGACATTTACCACGTGGCCTCCTTGTTTCCCCGAACAAAGGGCTCATGTTATGTCATCCCACCTGCAGATAGCAATTGTGATGTTCTCTCTTTTCTTCACTGCCACCAGTGGATTTCCTTTATCTACAATGTAAAAGACTTTAATCAGACACTTCTTTGGTTACTGCCAAGAGAACTTATTTATTGGAGTGTATTGAATTAAATCAGAATCACAGATGTTCTTTATTCAGTGCATACAATCAAATCATTAAAATATCATATATCTTCCCACATACTCAGTCACCACCTGCTCTATTAATCTTGACCAGCTTATCTCTATTAGTATAAGTTCTCAATATCTCCCTGACTATCTCTGCAACTTCTATCTCCTCTCTCTGTGCAACTTTTCTGCCAAACCTTTTTATATCTGCTGACTCCGCCCCTTCACTCCTCTCATAGGCTCATGCAAATGAGGTATGAGTGAAAGGAGTGGCGTGGGACAATCATCACAGCTTCTTTTCAAGGGATTATTTTCATGTACAGTGGTGCCTTGCATAGTGAGTGCCCCGTTTAACGACGAATCCACATAGCGATGCGGATTTAGCAATCGCAAAAGCGATCGCATTGCAACATTTTGAATGGGCGAAAATCGTATTGCTATGATCGGTAAGCATTTTGCTTACCGATCTTCGCATTGCGATGTTTCCCCAACAGCTGATCAGCAGTTCCAAAATGGCCGCCAGATGAAGAAAATGACTGCCTGCAGCATTTTCGCGCCCTGCCCTCACTTACCGAGGTGGCAAAAATGGCGGTCGTATGGGGAATCTTCGCATAGCGATGGGTTTTTCCCCCATAGGAACGCATTAAACAGGGTTTAATGCGTTCCTATGGGG